GAAGCCTTATATAGGTTAGTTTAGTGAGCTTAATTAAGCTAGGCTTAAGTTAACTAATTTGTATTATTTAATGCTAATTATTTGTTTCCGTATCAAATTTTTAATTGAACCTATCATAATGTTCTAAAAATTCCAAATGACACATAAACCAAGTTAATTTTGTGATCGTATGCCAATAAGGCCCTCAATTCGCAGAACAAAATAGAAACACAAATAGATATTTCTACGATAGACAGATATAAATGTAAATAACATATAATACATGTAATTAACGTAGAATTTCATCTTAATAACTTATTAGGCCTTCTTAATCAAAGATCATTAGCTAATCACAAGTTGGGGTTGTTACAGTCTTCCTCCCTTAAAGAGTTTGGTCATCCAAACTCGAATTACCTTCGTTTTGGAAGAATATCAGATCCAAATGGAACAAGTCAGGGTATCCCTTTATCATATCCTCTTCGGTCTTCCATGTTGCATAAATTCTTCCATGATTTTTCCAATCAACCTTTGCCAACGAAATTTCTTTGTTTTTTAGTCTGTTGATTCGGCGGTTCACAATTTGGATTATTCGTTTCTCGTACGTATAATCATCTTTCAGAAGCACATGAGTCGGCTCAATTACATGTAACGGATCTCTCAAATAATCCTGAAACATTGAGACATGAAAAATATTGTGCATATTTTCCATAACCGGAGGTAAGGCCACTCGATATGTTACTGACTTGATTTTCTTTAGAATCTTATATGGGCCAATGTATCTCGGAGGCAACTTTTCTTTCACGCCAAATCGTGTTTGCCCTTTCATAGGAGTTACTTTAATAAATTTGTAATCCCCGACTTCATATTCTCTATCTCGTCTTCGGACATCGCCATAACTCTTTTGGTGACTTTGGGCTGTTTGCAAACGTTGTTGAATCAATTTCACCTTCTTAGTTGTTTTTTACACAAGTTCTGCTCCCAATAACGGTCTATTGCCTACTTTAGCCCAACAAATTGGAAATTAACATTTCCTATCATACAATGCTTCATAAGGAGCCATTCTAATGCTTGAATGATAACTGTTGTTGTTTACAAACTCGGCCAGAGGGAGGTAAGTCTCCTAATTCCCTTGGAAATTTAACACACACATCCGTAACATATCTTCTAAAGTTTGATTGGTTCGTTTAGATTGGCCGTCTGTCTCTGGGTGGTAGGCACTACTCAGTCGCAGTTTAGTTCCCAAAGCCTGTTGTAAACTCTGCCAGAATCTTGATGTGAATTGTCAGATACAAAGGATACTAGCACACCATGCAATCTCACAATTTCATTCACATAAATGTTAGCTAACTTATCCACATTATAAAAAGTTTTAACAGGCAGAAAATGGGCAAACTTAGTTAAACGGTCAACAATGACCCGGATAGAGTCTATACCTCGAGAGGAGTGAGGCAATCCAACAATGAAGTCCATCGTAATGTGCTTCCATTTCCATTCCGGTATTAGAAGTGGCTGAAGTAATCCAGCGGGTCATTGATGTTCAGCTTTTACCTATTGGCAATGCAAACACCTAACCACAAAATCAGCAATACTTTTCTTCATTCTAGGCCACTAGAAATTCTGTTTTAAGTCATGGTACATCCTTGTATTCCTTGGATGCATAAAAAATTTAGAGTTGTGAGCTTCGGTCATAATACGTTTTCTCAATTCAGAATGGTCCAGTACACAAAGTCTACCCTGAAATTTTAACACATTGTTTTCGTACACAAATTTCAGCCTCGGTTTTGATTCATTTTCATCAATAATCTTCTTTAGAAATTCATCTTGTAATTACTTTTCTTTAATTTCCTCAACTATGGCCGACTGAGCATAAATGACAGTTAGGATTTCACCATGTTGACACAAAACTACTTCAATCTCATTTATTTCCAAATCACAAGACAATTATGTCAGGCTAGTGAGCAAACACAACAAATTCCCAATAGACTTTCGGCTCAAAACATCTACAACCATATTTGCTTTTCCTGAATGATACAAAATCTGCAAATCATAATCTTTTATCAACTCAAGGCACTGCCTCTGTCTCATGTTCAATTCCTTTTGAGTAAAGAAATATTTAAGGCTTTTATGATCAGTATACATTTCGCAAGTCACACCATACAGATAGTGTCGCTAAAATTTTAAAGCAAACACTACAGCTACTAGTTCAAGGTCATAAGTTGGGTAGTTCTTTTCATGAGGTCGGAGTTGGCGAGAATCATAGGCAATCACTTTCCCATTTTGCATAAGCACACACCCCAGACCCTTGTATGAAGCATCACTATAAATTTGGAATCCATCTGTACCATTAGGCAAAGTCAGAATTGGTGCAGTCACGAATCTGGTCTTCAGCTTTTGGAAAGCAAATTCCCTTTGGTCATGCCAATCAAATGGTGTATTTTTTTGTATTAGTTATGTCAAAGGCATAACGAGTTCGGAGAAATCTTTCACAAATCTTCTGTAGTAACCAGCAAGTCCTAGAAAACTTCTGACACATTTGTTGGTCTTGGCCAATTCACAGTAGCCTTAATTTCTTGTGGATCCACTTAAATGCCCCAAAAATGTCATATTGTCCAGCTAGAATTCATATTTAGAAAATTTTGCATACAACTTCTTTTCTCTCAAGATCTGTAAGGTAGCTCTCAAATGATCTTCATGTTCTTCTCTGCTTTTAAAATAAATCAGAATATCATCAATAAATACAACTATACATTCATTAAGGTATTGTTTGAACACCCTATTCATTAATTCCATGAATGCTGCAGGTGTATTAGTTACCCCAAACGACATTACCAAAACTCATAGTGCCCATATCTAGTCTAGAAAACAGTTTTCTCTATGTCTTCTGTCTTAACTTTTAATTGGTTGTATCTGGATCGAAGATCAATTTTGGAAAACACCTGGGCTCCCTAGAGTTGGTCAAACAGATCATCTATTCGGGGTAGTGGATATTTGTTCTTGATAGTTACTGTGCTCAGTTCCCCATAATCTATACATGGTCTCAAAGACCCATCTTTATTTTTAACAAATAACACTGGAGCACCCCAAGGTGAAGTGCTCGGTCGGATAAACTTATTGTCTAACAATTTTTGAAGTAGGATTTTCAATTCTTTCAGTTTTGAAGCTGACATTCTATAAGGGATTTTGGAAATTGGTTGTGTTCCAGGCACTATTTCAATGGTAAATTTAATTTCTTTATCAATCGAATCACCGAGTAGTTTGTTTGGAAACACATCAAGAAATTCATTAACTACAGGAATAGCTTCTACATTAGGACTATCAGAAGTCATGTTTAAAACACTGCATAAATAAGCTAGTCATCATTTCCTAAGCAATTTGACAACTTTCAAAGCATAAATCATATACGGAGGTGGAACTATTCCATTCCCAGCAAATACGAATTTAGATAAACCAGGTGGTCGAAAGACAATAGATGTATTCGCACAATCAATAGTTACACAATACTTAGCCAACCAATCCATACCCAATATGCAATCAAAATGAGCAATGTCTAAAGGCAGCAAATCAACGTATAATAACACATCTCCAACCATGACGTCACACGCAAGATACACATAAGCACACATCATAGTACCCCCAAAAGGTGTAGATACAGATAACAAGTAATTCATGGGTTCTAGTGGTCTAGTTAATTTGCAAGAAAAAGCATGCGACATGAATGAATGTATAGAACTAGAATTTATCAACACATATGCATTTTAAGCACAAATAGGGAGTATACCTGACACCACATATTCAGTATTCTGTACATCGCCGGGTACAAGTGCAAACACTCTACCTTGTCTCAAGGGTTCTATACCAGTATTGGTTCTTGCATTTGATCTTGGTGTAGAAACGGATCCAATCGAACTTGCCGCAAGACGGTTGGCATTTTCAGCTGTGAATGAATAATCTTTCATCATATGGCCAATCTTGCTACATCAGAAGCACGCACCAGAAGTACGATAACAAACACCCTTATGTTTTCTTCCACATTTTGAACAAACAAGTGTAGATCCACTACTCTGACTTGAGCTGTTAGTAAATCCCGTGTTTTGCTTCTTATTCATAACAAATGAACGGCCCTTTTTGAACTTATACCTAGATCTCTTGCCCTTCTATTCAGTTATTGGAGCTTTTGTTTGTTTCATTGCAGTCAAGTTGGCTTCAACCATTAAAGCTCTATTAAGTACATCCACATATTTGGGCAATTTTAAAACACCTACCCGATCAAACACATCTAGATCCAGTCCTCCTTCAAATTTTTGAGCTTTTTTATAATCCGTGTTATAACACCCCAACCTTTCACATGTCATTGATATTGTCTGCTTTGGTCCACGCCCGCACGAATTTGTTCTTCCTAGTGGGTCACTCATCCCAAAACTACTCCAGCCTTTCACATGTTATCAATATTGTCCGCTTTGGGCCACGCCCACACGGATTTATTCTTCCTAATGGGTCACCCATCCCAAAACTACTCCAGCCTAAGCACACTTAATTGGGGAGTTCTGCTAGGGATTTCACCACCCAAGAAAAGGCCTTGATGTTAGATAAAGGTCCAGGTTTTACTTTTATAGCCCAGGAACTCCCCTTCCATTCTCGATGTGGGGAACTTACAATCCACCTCCCTTAAGGCTGCATGTCCCCGTGCAGTAGCCTGCTAGCTCACAAGCCCGTCCACATACACCGAGAGACGCCAGGGGCCCACAATCAGTACTCCAGAGAGTCGGCTCTAATACCATTTGTAACATTCCAACCCTTCACACGTCATCGATATTGTCCGCTTTGGGCCACGCACGCACGAATTTGTTCTTCCTAGTAGGTCACCTATCCCATAACTACTCCAGCCCAAGCACGCTTAACTGAGGAGTTCTGCTAGGGATTTCACCATCTAGGAAAAGGCCTCGATGCTATATAAAGGCCCAGGTTTTTACTTTTATGGCTCAGGAACTTACCCTCCATTCCCGATGTGGGACACTGGGACCTTAGACGTGTCCATTATGTTCCACCATGTATGGGGCAAAACGGGCTAATTTAGTGAACTTAGCCTCATATTCGGCCATTGACATATTGCCTTGTTTGAGTTCTTGGAATTCAGACACATTTCTATCTCGAAAACACTGAGGGAAGTATTTTTCATTGAAGATCTCTTTGAATTGATCCCAAGTCAAAGTCCCACTGCTTTTACGGACAAGCATCCACCAACATCGAGCTTCGTCCTTTAAGGTGTAGGTGGCCAGCAAAACTTTTTGAGTCACGGTACATGGAAAGATTTCAAATAACTTTTCAATTTTTAGCATCCATGTTTCAGTCTTTAAACATTCAATTCCATCCAAGAAAGTCGGTGGCTTCATCTTATTGAATTTCTGAGTCAAGCTGATGATGTCATTGTTTACCGGTTTTGCTTGGACAAGAGGAGACGGAGAAGGCAAAGGTTGTTGTCTTTGTTGTTGCATTATTGCTTCTGTCAAAGCTTCAAGCATTCTTTCCCTTTGGTTCATCCAAGTCTCGGGATATTCAGCTGTACCATCACTTCTTGTATTTTCCATTTGCTATAGGTAAACAAAGCACTAATAAGCATAGGCAAATAATTCTTTTCACGGTGTTCAACTTCATTTCAGTGTCAATGTATGTTGGTTCAGGTATGTTCATATATTTCATATATACTCACACATGTAGATGTAATGTCCCTAATTCTTACTAGGACATCCTATAGTTCATATGGACTCGTGTGTGCGGTATAACTCGTGCTCTGATACTACTCTGTTATGACCCAAACCTGCCCCTATAGGTTTAGCGCCGTAACCGACCAATAATCCTAGGATTACCAAAGGCCTCTGAACAAATTAAAGAAGATATAGGGGCTAACAGAAGCAAATACAAACATATACGTCCATAGAGCTGTGTAAACATACACGAGATAGAAAATTTTAAACTTAATTTCCGTAATTAAAATGTCATGCCCATTTCACCATTCATACATACAGACCAACAAGAGTCTTATTCAAACTTAACAAAGAAATACAAAAGATCTTTAACATGATTCACAAAAGCTTGACCATTGCAAAAAGGGAACCTCCTCATGTGGCATTGTTGCTGGCTGACAAAAAGGAATTCTAGGTCATCAACTCTAAGCCTGGTTACGTGCCTGGTCACCTACATACATACATAATAATAAGGTGAGCCAGAGTCCAGTGAATAACAACAGAGTAAAGGATTAATGAATGGTGTCCCAACAGTTTCAAGAATTATAGTTCATATCAGAAACAAATTCAAATTTACATATTTAACCAGAAGTCATAAACAGTTATATGTGGTATATCCATTAGCTATCATTTCATCTTGGTCCTGAAACCCATATGCATAGTCGGTACCGACGACCCCAAAGGTCCATATCTTGTGCACAAGTAGTCATAGTATTATTTCCCCCAAGCAAGGGTCATGTATAAACCACGGTATTGTTTTCTCCAGGTAAAGGCCATATGATTATAAGCCACAGTATTGTTTTTCCCGGGTAAAGGCCTTATGAACATATGCCATGGTATTATTTTCCCCAGGCGAGGGCTTTGTGAACTAAGGACGCCACAAATACATTCCAGGAAATTAGACACTCATTCTCTATTCATAAAATAGCATTTCATAAAGCAGATCATATCTTAACATTCTTAAGATGCTTATAATCAGACATAGCTTTACAGAGTTGTTACCCACAAATAGCTCTGATAGCAAAATGGACAGAGCAGATAGGTCGAATAGCTTATGGCGTGTGACCTACACAAACATATAACAAATGCGCATTGAACACATGCTCGGAAAAACACATAACTCATTTCTTTTTTATCTTGGTGTGTTTCTAATACTTATCCGCATTATTATGCCTTAATTAGGGCTTAGGAATGCCTAAGATGTAATGAGGATGCAAAAATGTGCTTTGAAACACTTAGCCAAATTTTCAAAACAAGGCAGTCTGCTCGAGCACAACTTCTGTCGCTTGAGCGGCTTGTAAAGTCTGCAAAAGTACTAGTTGCATGATTTTTTCACTCGACCGACAGTCGTTGGTTGCTCGAGCACAAGACTGAATAAAAAGGGTCTTCTCTCGATCGCAACTTTTGTCGCTTGAGCGATTTACAAAAGTCTGTAAAACTTCTAGGAGCTCTCATGTTACGCTCGAACGCAACTTCTGTCGCTCGAGTGAAGGATCAAAAACAAGGGTGGTCGTTTGAGCATAGATTCTGCAGCACGAGCCAACCCCCAAACTCTGTAGAAGTACTGGGAGCTCGCATTCTTTGCTCGAGCGCAGACTTCACCGCTCAAACAGATGATGCAAATTCTGGAATTTCCAGATTGTTGATTCAAGTTCAAAACTCAATTCCAAAGCTTCAAAACACTTCATTTTGGGCCAAAACTTGGTAAAACATTGAGAAACTCATAATATGTGACGAATTACAAACCATTTCGCAAAATCAAGCCCAAAAGCTTTGCCAATTGTACAAAACAAAACTCAAAACTTTGACACAGAACATGCATGTATAGAATTGAAATCTCTTCTTCTCAAAACATAAATTCATGAAGTGAAAAGTCTAAAAACATGAAAAATCCTTCAAGTCCTTCTACAAAAGCCTCATGCATGTGAGAGTTAGTTGGAGTTCAAACTCAAAATGGGCTTAAAATGCATGAATGCATGATATGACCTTCATTTCTATTCCATTAACTCAATTCTTGCATTACTCAACTTAATTATTTGAATTCATGTGCTAAGTGACTCAATTAAAAGGCTAAAAGGTTGAATTCTTACCTTAAATGATCAATTATGCTTAGATGCTAAGTTGGTTAAGCTCACAAGTCAAATGCTCCAAATTTCTTCTCAATTCAATCTCCCTTTCTCTTGAACTTAAGCTCCTATACTTAAACTATCTCTCTTTCTCCCACGTTTTGCTCTCTAAGATGACAAAATGAGAGTGTTGTAGTCAAGAAGCCTTATATAGGTTAGTTTAGTGGGCTTAATAAAGCTAGGCTTAATTTAACTAATTTGTATTATTTAATGCTAATTATTTGGTTCCGAATCAAATTTTTAATTGAACCTACCATAATGTTTTAAAATTTTCAAATGACACATAAACCAAGTGATCGTATGCTGATAAGACCTTCAATTCGCAAAACAAAATAGAAACATAAACAGATATTTCTGCGACAGATAGATATAAATGCAAATAACATATAACACATGTAATTAACATAGAATTTCATCTTAATTACTTATTAGGCCTTCTTAATAAAAAAATCATTAGCTAATCACAGGTCGTGGTTGTTAAAGAGAGATAGATGAAAGAGAAGTGTTGTGAAACCCTATATAAGAAGAGGAAGAGAAAGAGAGAGGGGGGTTTTGAGAATTGTTTCTGAACATATAATTGTGTGTATTTTTTATATGTAGATAAGGTATTTTGGTCATTTTGTGATATGGACATAATATTTTAATAATGCTACTATTAGCATCCTATCAATTATTTTGGACTCTCAATTTTTTGATTTTTTTTTTAATTACAATAATAACCTTAAATGAAATTATTAAAAAAAACATCAATAATTTTGGGACACCCCATGTCACAATTAAACCTACACACCCACTACATCATAAGTTAGGATTTATGAGAGCACCTACCTCTATCACCACTTATCCATCTTTCTCAAATCTCACATTCAAAACCTACCCATCAGCAAAATCTTGAAAACCCTTTGGCGCAATATTCCGACAACAATGGTGTCAACCATTTGATTATATACACTTCTTCGGCAATGATAATGAATGGAAATTTCTCTGGCAACCACAACTCCATGACGATGAGAGGAGTACAATAATAAAAACTTAGAAGATGTTCATAGTTTCGATGGTCTTAGCTTAGAGGAGATTAGCCCTGTAAGGGTAAGTTTCTTGAAAAAAATGACAAAAATAATAAAAACTGTTTGTTATTTTTTTCAGGATTGAACTCCCAAACATATGACCGAAATTCGGGAACACAGACCCGAACATTGTTTATTTGGTTGGGAACAAGTAACCGAACATTTTTTATTTGTTTGAGAACAGATAACCGAAGCAGTAGTAGAAGTAGACAAACAAAGGAGGTCGGACCACGCTTGGATGGTCGACCGATGGGTGAAATCCTGTCCAGTTTTGCTCACACAGAGAGCATACAAATATAGTGAGGCCATGGATGAATGATAGAAAACCAATCAGAGAAGTATAAAAGTGGATTGTGTTGTGTGTGTGAAAAAAGATAATAATAATAATATAAAAAAAGATTGACAAACCTTATAATGAAATAGAGAAAAATTTTCTTAATCACCACAATTTTTTTCTACTGATTTTGGGAGGTTCTACCATCATGGGTTTTGTTAGGGTTTTAGGAGAGAAGCTTTTTAGGGTATGCATTTGAAAGAGTGAAATATTTTTACAAAGATAATTTGGTATTATTTGGAGGGAGAAAAAAATTTTAAGAGTTTTATAATTTATAAGTAGGGGTTCAAAGAAATGAGATATTCAAATAATTGATGGGGTGCTAATACCGACACACTATTTTAATGCTTGAACCTTTAGATAAAAAAAAAAGGCACTGCTCCAGTCCCAAATCAGGCTGGAGGGTGCTGTTAGGCCGGTGGAGGCCCACCATGAGTCTCGTTTCGATAATCCGAACCGTTCAATGTGTAGAAGTCGTTGAGTATTGTATGCTTTTAAAATAATCACGTTAATCGGATATCGATAGCTACATGATCAAATCAGTTTTGTATAAAAAAATAGAAGGTAAAAAAATAAACGGTTAACAAAAAACTGACCTGATGAGGCAGTTATCGATATTCAATCAACGTAATTTTTACAGGCATATAGTACTCAACAAGTTCTACACATTGAACGGTTCAAATTATCGAAACGAAATCCGTAATAGGTCTTTATAGATCCAACAGTACCCTTCAGTTCTATCTGAGACGGGAAGAAAGCCATGCCTATAAAAAAAAATCTAAATTTAAATTGATGGATGGAGTGCTTAAAATTAAATTATAATTAGAAAAAGAAATGAAATAAAAGGTGAAAAAATGTTTGGGAAAGGATTAGGGGTGGGTCCCACCCATTTAAATGATATTTTGACTTTAAGGTTTTTTTTTTTTGTTTTTTTGTTTTTTTTTTTGTTTTTTTGGTGTGTGGAATTCCTACTAATACAATTAGAACTTGATTATTGTAAAAGGTGTGACGAGGGCGTTGGGATCCTCTAGAGTGAATTCCTAGAGTGATCTTCTACGGTGATCCACAGATTGCTGACACGTGTCCCACTCAACTGTCAATGGCTGAGATTTAGCCTGAATAATTTTGAAAAAAAAAAATTCAAAATTCAAATTTCTGGGTTTCAGAGAGTTAGAGAGAGAGAGAGAGAGAGAGAGAGAGAGAGAGAGAAGGGCTGAGAGAATGAGAGAGGAGGATCGCCGCCCCACCCCGCTCCCTACATGCTGCTGCCAATGCCTAACCCACCATACTCCAAAGAATCACGATCTTCCCTCTCCTCTTCTTCATTCTCTGTTCAGTCTTCTTTATCTTTTTGATAGATATGAGAGAGCTGATTCAATAATATGCTTGATTTGATCCACATGACAGGATTTCTTGATGGATTGATCAATTTTGTGTTGTTGGACTTTGTGTTGTTTAATTGGGACAAAGTTTTGAGGTCTGGTAGGCTTCTGTCCAAAGTTGATAAAGATGACAAAGAGGTTTTCTTCTCATATATATATATATATATCTTAGATCTGGGCACAAACAAAACATAGGATTTTTGTGTCCCTCAAGGTTGGTTTTCTTAGATCTGGGTTAAAAGAGGCTAATTTATTTACAAACCTCTTTTGATCCTTTGGTATTTGAACAAATCTCCCCCAAAAAGAAATTTATTGTAGTTATTTTTTCTGAGTTTTCCTTGTTTTCTATAAAATTTTGATTTGTTCTTTGGTTTTGGTTAAGAAACAAGTTGATTTTATTCTTGTTTGTAAAATTTTGGGTTGATTTTAGGTTGATCTTCTTTTTTGTTTTAGGTTGATTTTCTTACCATTTCAGTTAGATTCAGAGAAGAAAATCAGTTAGATTCAGAGAAGAAAAAGGAGGAGGAGGAGGAGGGAAGGGGAGAGGTAGAACGGCGTCGTTTTGAGAAGAATTGATCTCAACCCTTGGTTCGATTAATGGGACAAGTGTCAAGCTCTCATAAAGTCACTCTACCAGATCACTCTAGGAATCCATTCTAGAGGATCCCAACGCGTGACGAGGGCCCTTATTTGGACACGCGGCTTTTAAAGACGGCGTGTGTCGTTTTCCCCTTTAAACAGAGTACCAATTTACAACTCGCAGAATGAATAACCATTGCTGGTAAGACCAAGGAGACTCTCTCTCTCCACCGCCGCCTCCGCCTCCGCCTCCGCCATCACCACGTTGCCCTGGTTTCTTCCTTCCAATATCGACAATGCCTGCACAAAAGCGTTCACACGAGGAGGTTCCTTCGGAGGAGGACGAGTCTCTGCAACGCAATCAAAATCAAAATGAAAATCACCACAAACACCCCCAAGATGTGTGCGGTACGTAAATTGCTTTATATCTTCGAATAAATACAAATTTTTTTGCTCCACATTATGGATTTGAATCTTCTCTGTTCCTCAGAATCCTATGGAAGCCCTTCATCTGGTGGCGGAGACAACAACGAGTACGTTCTCTCTTTCTATGCTATCTTCTCTCATTCACTGTGTTTGATTTGAGATCAGTATGGTTTATTTGGTTGTCCTGTTGCATTTCTACGTATTTTATTGAGTATTGTTGAGTGAATTGTTAATAGAGTAATTTGGTTTTGGATCTTACTGATCAATGGGGTGAATATGGTTCAGTTTGGTTCGGTTTTGAAGGAAACGAAGACCAAACTACTACCTACATTTTCATAAAATTTGGAACCAAATGGATCCATGAAAATCTTGGAACTAAACCAAACCATGAAAGCGACCATGGGTTTCATGAACTTTTGTCATCACTGACAACATCATCACAACTTGCTCAAAGGTTAAGTAATATATCATGATTTTATAAACAAAATTGTTAAATGATTGTTTAAAACTAGTTTTACTATTATATGAGAACAGACTTTAACATCTTATTAATATATTTAGAAAACTAATAAGGTACTTGAGCATCTACTATAAATTACAAATTATATATATATATCTAAACAATCCCATTCGGCTCCAAACCGGAACCATGAGTATAAAATGACAGACGGAACCTTAAAGTACAGTTCAGCTATTTTAAGAACTAGGACCGAACCATGCATTGAAAAACCAAACCACACAGTGCAGTTTGGTCTAGATTGGACCAGTTTGCGGTTTTTTCATTTTTCTAGCTCAGGCCTACTAATCATTGTATTTATCATTTGAATTTTAATGTTGCTGCGGGTGAGTCATGGTTGCACTTGCTTCTGTGGCTAATTTTTTGCATGGAGGTTTTGATTGCCAATTTTTTTTTATAATTATTCTGTGCATTTTTTATTTTTTTTTTGAAAATTCAAGGAACAACTTAAATGTGGTGTTTTAAATTTTTCTCCCAAACAGCTTGCCAAACAAGCATGTCACTCTCTGAAAACAAAAGCAAAAATGATACTGAACATGACCTAAATCATATAGCTATTATTGTGACTGAACATAGATTTCCGCACCAGGTGCATTGTTGGGCACAAATGAAGTGGTGTCTAATGAAGCACATTGTGAATCTTGAGTTGATTTATGAGATGTATCTTGGTCATGTTACCAAGGCAAATTATGGCATTTATCAACATTCAAGTGTACTATATTATTGTTGACCTCATTGTTCAGTGTTGGTGTGGATATGATATCATAGTCCCTTTACCAGGATGCATAATAAAGAACTGAAAGGCTAGTATTCTAAGTTTGAGAAGGCATTTCAGATGCCATTGTTAGCATTTGAAACAATTTCATGGATGTCTAAAACAATTACATGGATGCTCTTTATGTGGAAAGGGTTCATGTTTGACGACATGAGTTAAATTCGCTTTCCTTAGTCCAGAGATCTTATAATGCGCTTTACAAGGGTCTTTCTTTTCTACAATGCATGCAATTCATCTAATCCTCCGGTTTATGAAAGTCAAATCATATTGGCTCTCAACTTTTATAAATATGGCGGCATGGGTGGGATTTTAGGGTTCACTTTTTATTGATGGGGTAAAATCTGTCTATTACCATGGAAGCCCTTTAATTCTTGTAAAAGTCAAAGCTACCATAGCATGGAGGATGGAGGTACTTGGGTGTTATGGTGTGGGGTTGAAGGGTCCTAGCACCCCACATTGCCAAGAAACAATGTTGGCTGGTGGCTTTTCCTTCAATAGTTCATGTATTAACTAAAGAGGAGGATATAAAATCAGTGGTATACATTATCAACTTTTTACCTTAACATATTGATTGCTTCATGCTAAGAAACAGGCACATACACGGATGCCCACACAATGGGGATATAACAACAAATATTTTTCTATATATTTTTATGTAAATGAATATTACACCCATAGAAAATTAAAAATAATGAAAAACTAACACTAATTCAACATGAAAAATAACTCAAACTTTATTCAATATACATTAGACTTGTTTTCCTTCATTATCATTGGAAATTGTGAGTGTGCTGCTAGTACAATTAGAAGAAGACAAGACTAGTTTTCTTACAACTAATACAAGTAAGAAAAAAAGAAGCAATTTCAACTGTCAAACGCTAATTTAGAATGGCAATTCCACAACTTCAACAATAAAAGACTAATTAAAAAATTGAGATAATGCTACCTATTTGTATTGTTTAAAGAATAAGGGAGAGTAACAAATAGTAATGATTACCATAGACAACATGTTTACATACGATGACTCCTTTTATAGCTCATGACAAGATAACCTTCTCTTAGAGCGTGTTAAGTGGTAAGATAGGCGTTTGTAATGTGTTCCCAACTTGTTCGAGCATAGAAAAAATAATTAAAAAACATAGGGATACACCAGGTGGTGTGTGTAGTACGTATCCCGACATATGCAACACGTCTTAGATATGACTATGGCAACTAAGTTGAAGTGTCTGTGCTTTATAGGTTTCATGTGCTAATCTATATAACTAAGTTGAAGTGTCTATGCTTTATAGGCTTCATGTGCTAATATATATATATATATGTGTTGTTTGTTTGTAGGTTTGTAGTTGTGAAATTGTCAGAAATACGCAAGGAAGTACAATGCCCAATTTGTTTAGGTATTTTTTTAATTTTGCGTTTCACTCCTCCCCGTTTCATCTTTTATGATTTTGTCTATTTGGTACAATGGAATCAGTGTTTTAAAAGGCTATAGGCGCGCCGAGGTGATAAGGTCTCCTATAGCCTAAGTACGAGGCGCAAGTAGTAGAAGAAAAGCAAAATTATAAAATAGGCAAACTTTTCAACATAAATATGTATAGAATTCCAAAAATTATAAAAGTAAGCTTCACAAGCATAACAGAGAAGAAAAAACAGAGAGACAATCCAGCGAAGAAGCATGAGAAGAAAAGAAGAAGAGAAGAATAAAATAAGAAAAGAAGAAGAGAAGAAAAATATAGAAAGAAAAAACAGAGACAAACCCATGAAGAGAACCCATCAAAGAAGAAAAGAAGAAAAAAAGAAGAGAAGAAAAATAAAGGAAGAAAAAACAGAGGCAGAGAGATAACCCAACCAAGAGAATCCATTAAAGAAGAGAAGAAGAGAGGGAGAACCACTGAAGAAGAAGAGAAGAAGAGAAGAAGAGAAGAACTTGAAGAAGAAGCCAAAGTCGTGTCGTCTTTTCACTTTCTGATCACTTTTTTTTTTATCTTCTCCAATTAGGATTTTTTTTTTAATCACTGTCTGCTCTCTTTTAACTACATTTGGTTATTTTACATTGAAGAGTTTTGATTCCTTATGGGTATGCCCACAAAAAAAGCACGTAATCAACAGTTGGAGTAGAAAAATAAGTAAAGCCCATGAAGCTCGCGCCTCGAAAAAAAGCCCTCGCTTCAACGCCTAAGCCACGCCTTGCGTATTGCGCCTCGCCTCAACCTGTTTGAAGCGCAAGGCTGCGCCTCGTTGTGCCTCGCGCTTAGGCGTGCGCCTAAGTGTGCCTTTTAAAACACCGAATGGAATACTTTGGATTCATATGAATAGTTTTTCAAATGTGAACACAATTTTGTGGATTATTAAATGGTGTACATGCAATATTTGACCAATGGGATACCAATAGATGATTTGTTGCAAGCAATTACATTTTTTAGTGCTATTAATATGTTCCCCAAGAATGATAGATATGATAAGTAATATGCAAATGAGATGTAAATATCTTTATTGAAAGTGAAACACTTAGAATATTAGTATTCTTAAATAATTGCTTGGATAATCTCCTGAACAACTTGCTATCATAAATTTTAAACGTCTTTTCTTTGTTGGATATAATGAATATTTAGGTTTGTATTGTCATACGGAGGAATACTAGATTTTTTGTGGACATCGGAAATAAGAATACTAGATTTCACCATTGTTAAATTTGTTATGATTTTAGATGTATTCATTCTAGTTTTTGTCATGCGGCTATTGTATTCTTAGTATTTAAGCATCATTCTTTCTAGGGTGAATTACACTAAGTCTCTGTAGTTTGGGACTTGTGTCACTTTGATATCTGACTTTTCAATTGTGATACATTTGATCTTGAATTTTGAATCTTGTTCCAAATAAGGACAATCAAAGATGTTTCCTTTGCAAAAGGTCAATTTCAAGGGCAAAATTGTCATACAATTTATTTTGTGTTGGTTACTTTGTATGTTGTTTGAAATGTAATCACTTTGCTTGGTTCCCATTTTCTAAAAACAGTTTTTAGAAAATTCTACACTCTTATTTTCAGTGTTTTTTTGTTTTTACTGAATTTTTTTAATATTTTATGCAAATTTTTTACTTTTTAGACACACCTAACATAAATATACCTAAAAAGTAAAAAAATTGTAAAAAAAATCTTTTAAAAATTCACTAAATACCAAAAATACAAAAAAAATACAAGAATTTAGTACATTTTTTGTATTTTTATGTATTTCTTAATTTTTTAAAATATTTTTTCACAATTTTTTTACTTTTTAGACACATCTAAGTAAGGTGCATCTAAAAAAGTAAAAAAAATGTTTAAAATTTTAAAAATATTCACTAAAAACAAAAAAATACGAAAATCAAAAAACTCAGTTTTCAAAAAAATTAATCCAGAAAACTCAAACCAAACACAATGGCATTTTTTTCAATGAATACTGAAACTTTCTTAGTTATAAGGTTTTATTTGGTTTGATTTTTAGAAACTATTTTGAGAAATTTTTTCTAAGAAATTAAAAATTAAATTGGTGAAAATAATAATTAAAAACACATTATTTTTGTATAATTTAATCTTTTGGGAGGGTAGAAATAATTTTTTTTGATATTTATTTTTGTTAAATTAGTTTCATTTTTTTCAAAAGTCAAATATGGCGACCACTTTGATGTCATTATTAAACCAATCCGTTAAATCAAAAAACTCAAAACTAAAAATATTTCATATATTAAATATATCGATTATACATTAAAAGTCTAAAAACACCTATTATGTGATAACTATAAAAAAATATCTGTTAACAATAAATACAATCATCTATTACATGATAATCATCCAAAAACAATAATCAATTACATGATCATCATCCAAACACATACTAAAAATTAATTTGGTTAAAAAAAAAATGTAAAAAATTTATCATTTTTGTATAATTTTGCTTTATTGAGTAGAAATAATTTTAAAAAATTCAAAAATAATTTTTTTGACAATTTTGTCAAACTATTTTATATTTTATCACATTGATGACTTTGCCTTTAAAATGAAGTAACAATGCCTTTAATTGTCTTTATTTGGAGCGAGATTCAAAATTCAGGGTGAAATGTATCACAATTAAAAAGTTAGGGACCAAGATGACACAATTCCCAAATTATAGGAACTGTTAGTATAATTCGCCATTTTTTCTATTTCTATAACTAGGGATGGCAATGCAATAGTGACACAACCTTTTTAGGGGCCTAAGGCGAAATTTTAAACTAAGGCCTTTTGATAAGTATTAATTATATTTTTGTATATTTTGTTTTCATTTCAAATTAGTTTTTCTTGCTTTTTTTGATGCAAAATTTCTAATTAAACTTTTGTAGTGAAGTTCTTCTAACCTATCTTATTCAATTGATAAAATAGCTAATCCATTTAATATTTCTTGTGACATACTCAATCTCAATTAGGATATTATCAATTAAAATTTTTTAAAGCCTCCTTCTATAGAAACAACTATTACGGGTGTTGTTAACAATATGTGCAAGCAGTTCATGCATTAGGGAAATAATGTAGCTTTTCAATATAATTTAATATGAAAATTAGTTTATTTCTTCCTTTTAGGGTTATTTACACGGAGACTCCTAAACTATTAAGAAGTATCATTTTGACCCCTTAAATTATAAATTATATAAATGAACCCCTTAAACTATTGAGATGTATTAATTTACCCCCAAAACTATAAAAGTGTACAAATGGACTCCCTAAACTATTGACGTGTTTTACTTTGACCCCTTTCATTAGGGGGTTCAAATTTGTACATTTTTATAGTTTAAGGGGTTCATTTGTACACTTTTATAGTTTAGGGATACCTCTCAATAGTTTAGGGGGTGAATTTGTACGCTTTTATAGTTTAGGGGGTCTCGTGTAAATAAACCTTTCTTTTATTTGTATAAATTCTTTTAAAAAGTTTAATTTAGAAAACAAATCTAAATGCCCGTCAATATTAGAAAAATCATCATGTTTCAAAAATCTCAAAGATTAAGACAATATTTTTTTAAACTATCATTGTTTAGTGGTTTTAGATTTTCAAAATTAAATAGAAAAAAAAATAAAATTAAAGCTTATGATTATACATAGCTATTACAAAAAGTGGGGCCTTCCTCAATTTAGGGCCCTAAGGCAATGCCCTTAATGGCCTTGCACTTGGGCCGGCAATGTGGCAATGATTCGGAGGGCCCTACCCACCCTGCCCTTGTTGAGTCTTACTTGACGCTTCCCTCGTCTATGCTTTCCTTATAATGTGAGACCTTGCACCCAACCTACCTAACATGTTTAATCTCCCTTCCCAGAAATGAGGTTACAAAATCTTAATACAAATTCACAAACTATGGAAGAAAGACTGAGGTCTTATGTACATGAGTAAGACAACACACACATCTTTGTATCTACGTATACATATAGATATATACACTGAGAAGGAATTTACCCTCAGATCTAGTTGATTTCAAGTACTCATTGTCTGTCTAGCCCAATCACCACTATCTTCTTTGCCCTTGCTTTTAATAGTGAGTACTACAATACCACCTTTCTTGCCGCCGTTGTTATTGGTGTTGCCACCATAAATCTAATGCAAAGTCAAACAAATTATAAATCTTTTTACAGCCCCCGCCAAACAAACAATATATATAATGGTTAGTACCTGAGGATTTGGAGATCTTTTAGAGTATGAGATAGTGTGAGTTAGCTATAATCCGATCCGGCATCATGAGATTAATGCGAAGTGAAACAAATTAAAAATCTTTTTACAACCATCGCCAAACAAACAATACATGTAATGGTTAGTACCTAAGGATTTGGAGATCTTTAAGAGTACGAGATAGTGTGAGGAAGCTATAATCTGATCCGCCACTGCTTTGTTTTCTTTCTTTTATCTTTGAATTCTCAACAAGGTCATTTGCAATTGTGATCTCTCTCTCTCTCTCTCTCTAAATATTTTGATTAGCAAAAGTCAGCTGTTAGTTGTTAGATTAGCTCATAGGGGTAGTTGAGCCCCTAATCTCTCCCCTGCAAGCACCCAAATGCTACCTCCATGCCACTAGGCCATGAGCGCACTTGTGATGTATCCACCCAATGGCTTTGTTGCTTATTTATATATATGTGCCTACATTTCTTTCGGTTTGCATGTATTCCCAGACAAAGTAGACTTCTCCCTCCCATAACATCTTCAAAATTGAAGAGTAGAGCCCTGTGTATGTGGTAGAAAGAGAATTCATGGTAAGTACACCAGAGACCTTTGAAAAGTAGTGGTCTGTGTTTGTGGTAGAAAGAGAACTCATGGTAACTACCCCAGAGACCTCTTAATGACCCTATTCTTGGAGCTATATATCTTCGAGCAATTCTAGTTTCAAGAAGAGTTTTATTCTTGGCTACAGATTCTAAGGAGAAAACGTTATGTTGGGTGGGCTTAACTTCGCCTTATATTTAACTGAAAGAGTAGTTATTGGTTTGCCAGATGGAAAAAGGGCAGAAAGGAAAACTAGGCTCTATTTATCATTGGGTGATATTGCCCCATCAAAAATGTCACAGGTTTATCATCTATCTTCAACCAACTTCAAGAGAAAGGACCTCTTTTCATGTAAAATTAATATTCCCTCCAGCATAATTATTTATTTAAAAAGGTGGAGTACAAATAAAAGTTTCACAATAGAACATTGAAATCAAAATGTGAATCAATTTTGACTCTTGCATTGAAAAGATACAATGCAAGGAACCTCTACATCATGGATTGATTATTTTTTTATGTTTTATTTTCTTTATAGTAATATAGTATGTTATGGGTTAAAAGGTTTTAATTCATGTGCCAGAGGAGTGGATGCCAGCTGATAACTTCAAATCCCTCATCTAATCTTTTTTGTCACAGGATTTTTTCTTCATTCATATGTTTGCACATTCATTCTGATTTGTAGAAAAACCATTGATCACCATTTTGTATGGCTAGGAATTATTCGGAAGACAAGAACCGTTATGGAATGTCTTCACCGTTTTTGCAGAGAGTGCATTGACAAATCTATGCGATTGGGGTTTGTCTTGAAATTGTTTACCCTTACTTTTATTGATTTCCAGTACTTGTATCTTCTTTTCATACAAACTGATCTGTGGCCTTCAATGCAGGAATAATGAGTGTCCTGCTTGTCGTGCACATTGTGCTAGTCGCCGTTCTCTGAGAGACGATCCAAACTATGATGCGCTTATTGCAGTTTTATACCCAGATATTGATAAGTATGAAGAGCAGGTATTAAGTTGGGCCAGCATCTTGGATCTCATATTGGTAATTGATTTAGTGTCGACTACTATTTCATTCACACTTAACTCTTGTACCTGGTTGCAGGAATGGGCTTTGTATGAAGAGGAGAAGGCTTGCAATAAGCAGGTGAGATTTTAAAAGTTCAGTTCAAGCATTTTCACTTGTATTTATGAATCATGCCTGGATTTTACTCTGCTTCATCTTTCCATATCTGTAATCCATATGGTTCAGTACGTCAAATCAACAGTGATTGCAGTACATTTCACACACACAGTTTGACCCAAAGAAAAAAAAAAAAAAGAACAAGAAAAAAGAGTAGAACAGGTAAATTTGGGAGAATGTCCAGTCATTTTTGGCTGAACTAATGGCATGTCCAAACTAAGCCAAACCAAATTAAGCCTTGTGTCCCAATTTGGTGGGCTCACCTTTGTATCTTTTTTTTTCCAAAATCGTTTCATGTGTTGGTGCTTTTTAGCCATCTTTTGATATAGCTTTGTTACATACGGGTACAAGCACTTACAGTGCAGACCTGTGTGAATAACAACTGTTCTGTGTCAAATTACATTTTTGCTTTTGTTTGGACTATGTTGTCCCCAGACCTAATTTTAGACTCATTTGGACAGATCCAAGCTTCTATTGCACAAACTTTTCAACGACAATCAGAAGCATTGGGCAGGAAAAGGACAACAGCTAGAGTCACAGCAGCTGCATTTGTAAAGAGGTCACAGGGCAATTATCGAAATCTAAGGGGGAAGAGAAACCATCGAGCTGCTGAGCTCCAAGGATCCGACGACGACGACGACGACGACATTAATGGCAATGATGAAGGCAAGGATTTATCTTCTGCTGATGAGTTCTGTACAGATATCAAACCAAAAAGATGCAAGAGATGGGGGGGATCTCGGTTTTCTCAGCCCTCTTCAGCAGCAGCCAGTGCAGATGGAGGGTGTGATGAAAATGACTTAGAAATAAACAGAGAATCAGTAGGCGCATGTGCAGGGCTTGTTAGTAGCTCAGAAAGGCTTGCCTGGGGCAAAGGTGGGATGCGGAGTCACACCAGGCACGGTGGCTCGAGTGGTGGCAATGGAAAGAATGCAAGGAACAGCCGCCTCTCTAAGTTGATTGATTTTCTCCAAAATTCAGAGGAAAATGATGACAGGGTAGTAATAGAATGCTTCTTTTTGGGTGGTGATCTTGTGGGCTATGCTATTAGCATTGAAGGATCCCAATAGAGATCTCTTAACTAACATAATGCTGGATATTTAATTTTCTCGTGAAAAGACAGCTTAGTTTTATGCTTAGAAGCATGGACACGTGACATGACACATACACGACAACACCAAAATTTTAAAAAAATGTAGGACACGATGTGTGGGGGATACGTGCAAAATATATAATTTTGTATATTTATTATATGTCATGTATGAGGATAAATAACTATTATATGTAGTATATATGAATATTTAGTTCAAAGTAATAATTTTTAAAATCTAAAAGAGGAGAATAGGTGGTATAAATTTACATTGTTTTTGTTTTGTGATTGGATTCTAAGTTATTTTAATTAAACTTGTAATGTTTATGTGTGTATAAGTTTTGTGAAGTGTTTGAAGAGTGTCGTGTTGGTGTCGGACACAATGTCAGACACGACACATTACTTTCTTAGAAGTGTCCGTATTTCTTAAGTTTAATGAGACCATTTCAGATTTCTTTTGGATTATTTACTTTTTAGTGTCTTTGCAGCCGTGACATTTGATATGATTGTCAATATTTTGTTTCCCATTATTTCAGTTGGATGTCCATCTCATGGTGGTTGACTTGAGTGAACAAAGAATATGCAATTTACAGCAACCCTACCTGTGTTGCAGGCCAACCTTGTCAGTTAGACACCTATGCAAAGTGAGTCCTACGTGTTAACCTTATTTTTCATTACGTGTTAAGCCTTTCTCACTAATAATGGATTTGTTCCTGGACGTGACATTTCTATGTAGTATGTGGCTCATCAGATCTTGTTGCACCCTGAAGAATTGGAAATGTGGATTGTTAAAAAGCTACACTCCAAACTAAACTCTTCATCCTCTACTAGTGTTGCAATAGCTGAGTCCAGCTTCATAGATCTATCCAAAGACGAGCTGCAAATATTGGAAGAGCACGAAACTTTGGCAGGATTTCAAGTTATCTGTGATTTTAGTCGGGGCCATCTGGTAATCTCTCCCTTACCAACTTTACTTTGTTCATGCACGAGAGAACACACATAAAACTTGTGTGCTTCGATAGGGTAAATGGTATGCAATTTTTTGATACAGTAACGACAATTTGAAGTGAAGTTATAACAATTCGTGATACAATTACGTAATTTTGTCGTGTGTTGCGCCCTTATTTATTTATTTATTATTATCGAACTGTTACTCAATTTGAAATATAATATAATCTATTATTGTTGAGTAACATTTTGGCATAACACACCATAAAATACTGAACTGTATCACAAATTGTGGTAACTTCGCTTTAAAAATCACAAATTGTTGTAATTTTACTTTAGAAACCACAAATTGTCGCAACTCTATTAGAAAACTGTGTGATATTTACTACAAAGATTGGTAATGCCTTTAAGGAGTGCATACCGTAACATTTCCCACTTTGATATACAACGACTTGTGTGCATAATTTTCTGTTCCAGACTCTGCAACAATCAAGCAGTGCTCTTTACTTTTGCATTTTTTGGTGCTGTTTCAGCTTATAGGTACCAGCAAAAGTTGTTAGGTGTTTCTGAAGCTAATGATGATTCATTTGCAATTTGAGAATTACGAATGATTAATCTTTTTCTACCGATTAATCTTTTTCGTACAAGGTAGATATAAACTAACTTACAGAAGGAAATTTGCAGTAGATTTAAATTGTGAGCAGGTTTATGTGTTGTAATTGAGAATTATTGGTCTTGGAAGTTGAGAAGTATACCGAAGGAGTTAATTTTAAAGAGTGAACAATGGTCTCATTTCATGGTTTTTGAATCGAATACAACTTAGTTTAAGCATTGTTGTTGTTATTATGCCAGATTGTATTAATGATTCTTGCAACCCTTTGTGCTTAGGCCTTATTGCATGCTTGTTTTCGTCTTTTCATTCTATTCCATTATTGAAAATGCTATACAAGTTTACTTTTTAAATCTAATGATGTGTAAATAAAATGATTGATTGATAATTAGAGAAAATATGATAGAAAGAATTGTCTTAGATATTCAAATGGTTTACCGCGTCATTGAGTTTGAAAAATGAGTCTAATTTTTGGTCTGGATTAGCATTGCCCTTCCATTATTCAACAAAGTTTTATCCTATTGAAATTGGTTTCATAATCATATATGCTTTGCTTCTAATAATTGTAATTATTGATTCAATTATTTTATATCTAATTTTTTAAAAATATAATTGTGAACATACATATGTGTATCCACTACTAGTACACACACTACTAGTCCCTACTATATGTAATCTCATATTATTCTTTGCTTCGCTTGTTTGCCCAACGGAGAGGATTGGAGTTTAACGATGCCTTATGTTATTCCTCTTAGTTCTGTTTTTTTAACACAAAAATTACCAATTCCAAAATTGTGCCTGTGTCTTTGGGTAATTATTTAATAGTTTTGAAGTATCATTTGATATTTTTTACTTGGTGTTTTAAATCAATCATATAATGAATTTTAAAAAGTGTAATATATATTGATTTACTTTTGACATAGTTAAAAAATAAAGAATGATCTACTTACATTGTATTTTGATCATGGTTTCATATAGGAATTTGAAAAGATAAATGGATGTGAGGCTGATGTAAATGAAATATAAGTGAGACAGATGTGAAGAAGTGAAATACAAGTTAGATTTTTTCTCAATTTTTTTTTTCTTTTTCAATTTTTTTAGTATAAAATTTATGATTCAAACACAATTTTATTATGTTACAATTTATCATTAACCGAAAATATTACATGATATTTTAGAAATATCTAATAAATTTGTTTTTACGCAAGATATAAGGATAAGTAATTCTCTCGTATCATTAGTTACTCTTACGTCCATCGGACAGTCAAATTAGGGTGGCATATTTGAAGATGACATTTTGCCATCATTTGTAATTTATTATTCTATCATCCTTATGGATATTATAACTAATAATCCTTCAATTATTAATGAATATCAATATTACTAAGTAGGAAAAGGGATGATTGTTGTGTCTCCTGCACAACAATGACGGTTGTGGGGTTACATGGACTAATTTCAAGATCCATTTCGATAATCTTAACTGTTCATTTTTTAGGATATATTGAGTAGAATATATTTACAAAAAATTAAGTTAATCGGATATTGTTAACTATTTCATCGAATTGCATTTGTATCTAAAAAATAAATGACAAATGCTATTTGAATTATAAAACTGAATAAAAATGTGAGTGAATGAATGAGTTAACAATATCCAATCAACTCGATTTTTTATAAGTATGTTTTACTCGATATACTTTAAGGCCTCGTTTGGGAACAGGCTAATTTAGTAACTTTTTGGCTATAGGAGGACGCTCATTAGTCTAATTGTGCTTTTATTTATTCTTTTTGGATTGTAATAATAATGGAACTCGTTTTAAATTTGAGACACTGTAATTATTATTTACTTTGTAATCCTATGCCTATCTTTGCGTTGTTTATGAGACCTTGCGTCAATGCCTTTTAAGATCCGTCAAAAGGGTGGTGCGCTACCTAAGAAAGCTGGACTTAGAAGGCAAGCTAATTGGACTCCTCTGGCGATCTGGGATCTTACTTGGTTATTGGCCATAGGACTCATTAGTGCCGTTTCCTAGACTCCTAACCTTAGATAAACCCTATATTTAATTGATAATATATTCTCTGAAGTTCGCCATTTTTGGGACGTCACAATAGATGTTTAGTGGTATGATTTAGGTTTTCTAAATTGTAAATTTTATTTTTCCTATGTAATTAGAATTTCACTATTAATCCAATTGGATCATATGAACTAAAATAAGAAACTCTAAGGACTAAATAAATAAAATTGATAATTCAACAATGTTTTTTAAAAAAAAAATGATAATAGTTTAGAAGATAAAGTAAAAGAAAATTTCACTTTATATTCTTATACTTTAAATTCAATCCTACTTTCTTCAAGTCTTTTTAATTGTCGCAATCAACCGATTAGATTTCGAATCAAATTGCAATTAATTGGACACAAGCTTACAACATTGTTTCAAAAACTATTGGAAGGACTAAAGTAAAATTTTAGTAAAAGCACAAGCGTGTTAAATTTAAAATAATAAGATTTTGATAATAAAAAAATATATATATAGGGTACTAAGTGCAACTAATACTATCATGTGATTATTCTCCATTAATTTTTGAAACAACATTATACAAATAGGCTCAATTGCAATTTGACTCGAAATCTAGAGAGTTCAATGAGACAATAAAAAGTGAACCAAAACAGAATTAAATATAAAATGTAAGAGTGCAAAATAAAACTTACCCATATTAGAGCAATAAAAATAAAATAAAGTATGTTAAATGAGAGCTTACCAGGCTGCCACCTCCTCAGCTCGTCTTTGAGATTTCGCAAAAGTCACTTGATTTCGATGTAACCAAATGTCCCAACACACCAAAAACACAAGACTCAAAACTTTGAAACCATGAGATGAAGAAATCTTATTTGAGTAATATTATAAAATCTAACAAATTTTATCATTCTTCTTTAGTTACTAATGTGGTACAAATCATATCATTCAAAGTAGGGAAGAACAGAACAACAAAATATTAGTCTTGTAGACCGCGTGTACATAATAATGAACCACTTATTTATTTGAGTAGAATATGATTTTTTTTTTTTTCTCTTTCCAACGTGACAAAGTCTAACCAAATGTTCCTAAAATAATAGGAGAGAGCCTGTAAATGACAAGATATATGTAATCTTATCTCATTAATAAAAAGGTTCGAGTCAATACAAATAAGAAATGAAGAATCTACATAACTCAAAATTTCACTGAACTTTCAGAGCTTCACATTCAAATTGTAACCAAACACATAACAAAAAAAAATTAAAATATTTGAAAATATATTTATAAAATAAAATAAAATAAAATATTTAAAATAAAAAATAAAAAGTATTTAAAATAAAAATTATATATTTAAAAATTTTAAAAATATATTTATAAAATTTTTTAATATGTAAAAAAATATATTTAAAATATATTTTTTTTAAAAAATAAAATAAATACAACTCAAAATATAAAATATAAAATAAATAAATAAATATTTAAAATATAAAATATTTATCCTAAAAAAATAAAATTAAGAAATTTTTAAAATATTTTTAAAAAAATCCAAAAAATTTCAAAATACAATTCAAAACTTTTTTCAAAACTCATAACCAAACAAATTTTTTCTTTTTAAAACTCAACTCAAAACACGACTTCACACTTAAATCACGATTCTAAAAATAATTTTAAAAAACAAAATAATAGAATATTTTTTTTAATTTTTTTTAAAAATAGAGTATTTTCAACTAAAAACTCATAACTTAAAACATGAGTCTACACTCAAATCATGGTTCTAAAAATAATTCTAAAAATCAAAATAAAAGAATACTTTTTTTGATTTTTTTTTTTAAATAGAGTTTTGAAAAGAGTTTGATTTTGAATTTTGAAAAAAATTTCAAATTGAGTTTTGAGTCGTATGTTTGGTTATAAGTTTTAAAGATAGTTTTTGAATTGAATTTTGAATTTTGAGAAAATTTATTTGATTATAATGTTTGAAAAGAGTTTTAATTTTTTTAAGGAAAATGTCTCGTAGCTCAAATTTTGTGACTCAAAAGTGGCTCAAATGGCCAAAACGACGTCGTTTTGGCTATTTTTATGTTGTTCTGTACTCAAAACGACGTCGTTTTGGCCATTTGAGCTATTTTTGAGTCACAAAATTTGAGCTACGTAACATTGTTATTTTTTTAATTGAAATCACAATTGTAAAACACAAGCAAGAGTGTTACAATTTTGACCCTCATTATATGGACTTTTCTTTTTGTAAGGTTAAAGGAACCACATTAGTGCAAATGATTGAAAAAAGATAAATAAGAAAAAATTATACCTTTAGCATAAAAGATATGACAATATCATTTTTTTACTTATATAACTTACAAATAATTAATGAAAATGAGACTAAGTAAAAAAAGTTTGAGAACACAGAAAGTTCTAAACACATAATGGACAAATGTGATGTGACACATATGTTATATTTGTATATTTTGTACTTGGAATTTTTTTGTGTCCCTGACACTACTGAAACTAGGGTTGTTTGGGGAGTAATTTTTTTGCTAAGCTAAAAAGTCAAGTCAAGTTATCATATCATTTTTTTTATATGTTTTTTTTTGCACTTTTTTTTTTTTAAATTTTGTTTATAAAAAATCAAAAAATCATTTTTCATGTAAATTAAAACCTTTAGAGGACTCATTATATTTACGTCAAAATTATAAAATTATTATATTTTCTTTAAACCTCAGGTGCTATCAGTGTAATTTACCTTAAAAATAAAGATAAATCATATAAATCTCTCTTAATTTTTTATATTTAAAAATAATAGTTTCACAAATTTAATAAAATTATATTGTGATCCTCTATTTTAACATGAGACTAAAAAGTCTCATTTACGATAAACTTTTTGATTTTTTTTTAATTTTTATGAGAGAAAAATTAAAATAATTATGATTTGAATACAACATTTTATTTTATGGACTTTTAAAACTATTTTTTATGATTATTTTATCCAAGAAAAATGTCTAAGACTCCTTTTTTTTCCCACCCCTTTGACCCCCTGTAGACACCCCATTTTTGACCGACCTTAAGACTCAGACATCACCGATTGAGCGCTCGGTGACGTTGCATAATGTGCTCGTTCAGAAGTTTCAGAGTCGCGGCCGTGAGCCCTGCCTCCGGACTTCCGAACCCTCTTCTGTGCCTTGCCTCGGTTTGCGAACCAGACTCGGTTTTCTCTATTTTTTTTCCCGAGGGAAGGGAGAGGTCTCATGGACCATCTCTCAGTGGCCGTGGGCTACATTTGGTGGCCGTAGGCCATTTTTCCCATTTCGGAGCCCGGTTCCCGATTTTCGGAGCCGTCAGGCCGTGTGCCTCGGTTCGGGACTGCTTAACCATCTCCGTTTGCTCTAAATTTTGGCATGCATCTTATTTACTCCCTTTTGAGGGACACTGGGATCTGAGAGACCCACTTCGTGGTCGAACACCACTCCCGGTGCCTAACAGCCAGTTTTTGGGGCCTCGGGCTGGGCGTTTCGGCCCCCGAACCTTCATTTTGCATCGGTTTGAGCTCATTTTTGGTGGAGACCTTATTTTCACTATTAGAAAGCTTGTAGGAGGGTGGGAGGCCAGCAATTTTGCTGAAAAGCCAACTTCTTTTTGGTCAAAAGTGGTTCAGCATGAATCCGGGAAGGAGAAAAATCTGCGCGGCTTCACCGAAACGGGCGTAACTCTTTGCACAAGAGGAATTAAGATATGAGGCCACCACCATTGGAAAGATTACTTCCGGGGCTTCATTTTTCACTCAAGAATCTCCCAAGTCCAAGTCCCGGGGGGGGGGAGATGTGGTTGGTTGAAGTCCGGTTGAACCGAATCTGCGCGGCTTCACGGAAAAGGGCATAACTTTTTCTACAGGAGGAATTTTAATGCAAGGTTTGCACCATTGGAAAGCTAACTTCTGGGGCTTCATCCTAGGGGGTGGCCGGCCACTTTTTTCCCTTTGACCTAGCCGGCCGGCCACTTACCTAGTGGTTGACCTTTTTCTCCCTTTTAAAGTGGCCGGCCATAATCTTTACACTGTGGACTTTACAGCTGTATAGCTGTTTCTCCCAGAAAATATCTCAATCCGGGAGATATTTTTGGGGGAAAGCCTTGGTCCTTTTCCCCCCACCCTTTCCTTCCATGCTCCCCCTCCTTTTGGTCCTTATAACCAGCTGCAAGCATTGGTTTTTGGGGTTAGAAAATTTACTCTTCAAGCTTGAATACAAGAATCCCTCTTCATCTCTCTCATTTCCTTGAAAAACTTCCAAGTCCTACACCACCATTCCTTCTACACCACCACCCCCCACCCTTCCATCCTCCATTCCAGGAGATTGAAGGTGTTCTCCAAGGCCTAAGGAGCCACAAACTCAAGCCAAGAGGCAACCAAAGTCAAGTCTTCAAGGGTAAGTTCACTTTCCCTCTTTTCTAGCTCATTTTTACAACATTTCTTAGCCTCTCTTTATTGTATATTTGAGCTCCGACCAAAACTGAAAAGGTCATTTTTTTGAGCTCATTTTCATGTTTCATTAAGGGGTCAACCCTGTTTGAGCCCCCCATGTTGCACTTGCTTCAATATCCTCCTTGAATGTCTTTTTTTTGTATGCTTTGGCAGCCCATTATACTTTCATTTTTGGGCGTTTTATAGAACTAAAAACAGGCTTATTTTGAGCCCCTCTTCAACATTGAAGAAGGGCTCAACACTTTTTGGGACCTCCATGCTATACTTGCCTTTATATCCCTCTTTGGTCCCCATTTCTTGCATGTTTTGGTAGCCTATTATGCTTCGGTTTTTGGCCTTTTTATAGTACTAAAAATAGTCTTATTTTGGCCCATTCTACATGTTTTATTAAGGGTCTTTGGCCGTTTGATGAATACTTTGTATACTTTGTGTTATAGCCACTTTTGAGCCTCATTTTGCATTGCATTTCTAGCATGTTTGTATACTGTTTTGGGGTTTTTACAGTTCTGTAAATATGCATATTTTTGGTCCCTCTTCAATGTTGTAGAAGGGAATTTTTCAGTTTGGGCAGTGCATATACCACTTACCTCTTTGGCCACCTTTTGGCCCATTTTCTTGCATAAGAGCTTAGCCATATCTATAAAGACAGCTTAGTTTTATGCTTAGAAGCATGGACACGTGACATGACACATACACGACAACACCAAAATTTTAAAAAAATGTAGGACACGATGTGTGGGGGATACGTGCAAAATATATAATTTTGTATATTTATTATATGTCATGTATGAGGATAAATAACTATTATATGTAGTATATATGAATATTTAGTTCAAAGTAATAATTTTTAAAATCTAAAAGAGGAGAATAGGTGGTATAAATTTACATTGTTTTTGTTTTGTGATTGGATTCTAAGTTGTTTTAATTAAACTTGTAATGTTTATGTGTGTATAAGTTTTGTGAAGTGTTTGAAGAGTGTCGTGTTGGTGTCAGACACAATGTCAGACACGACACATTACTTTCTTAGAAGTGTCCGTATTTCTTAAGTTTAATGAGACCATTTCAGATTTCTTTTGGATTATTTACTTTTTAGTGTCTTTGCAGCCGTGACATTTGATATGATTGTCAATATTTTGTTTCCCATTATTTCAGTTGGATGTCCATCTCATGGTGGTTGACTTGAGTGAACAAAGAATATGCAATTTACAGCAACCCTACCTGTGTTGCAGGCCAACCTTGTCAGTTAGACACCTATGCAAAGTGAGTCCTACGTGTTAACCTTATTTTTCATTACGTGTTAAGCCTTTCTCACTAATAATGGATTTGTTCCTGGACGTGACATTTCTATGTAGTATGTGGCTCATCAGATCTTGTTGCACCCTGAAGAATTGGAAATGTGGATTGTTAAAAAGCTACACTCCAAACTAAACTCTTCATCCTCTACTAGTGTTGCAATAGCTGAGTCCAGCTTCATAGATCTATCCAAAGACGAGCTGCAAATATTGGAAGAGCACGAAACTTTGGCAGGATTTCAAGTTATCTGTGATTTTAGTCGGGGCCATCTGGTAATCTCTCCCTTACCAACTTTACTTTGTTCATGCACGAGAGAACACACATAAAACTTGTGTGCTTCGATAGGGTAAATGGTATGCAATTTTTTGATACAGTAACGACAATTTGAAGTGAAGTTATAACAATTCGTGATACAATTACGTAATTTTGTCGTGTGTTGCGCCCTTATTTATTTATTTATTTATTATTATCGAACTGTTACTCAATTTGAAATATAATATAATCTATTATTGTTGAGTAACATTTTGGCATAACACACCATAAAATACTGAACTGTATCACAAATTGTGGTAACTTCGCTTTAAAAATCACAAATTGTTGTAATTTTACTTTAGAAACCACAAATTGTCGCAACTCTATTAGAAAACTGTGTGATATTTACTACAAAGATTGGTAATGCCTTTAAGGAGTGCATACCGTAACATTTCCCACTTTGATATACAACGACTTGTGTGCATAATTTTCTGTTCCAGACTCTGCAACAATCAAGCAGTGCTCTTTACTTTTGCATTTTTTGGTGCTGTTTCAGCTTATAGGTACCAGCAAAAGTTGTTAGGTGTTTCTGAAGCTAATGATGATTCATTTGCAATTTGAGAATTACGAATGATTAATCTTTTTCTACCGATTAATCTTTTTCGTACAAGGTAGATATAAACTAACTTACAGAAGGAAATTTGCAGTAGATTTAAATTGTGAGCAGGTTTATGTGTTGTAATTGAGAATTATTGGTCTTGGAAGTTGAGAAGTATACCGAAGGAGTTAATTTTAAAGAGTGAACAATGGTCTCATTTCATGGTTTTTGAATCGAATACAACTTAGTTTAAGCATTGTTATTGTTATTATGCCAGATTGTATTAATGATTCTTGCAACCCTTTGTGCTTAGGCCTTATTGCATGCTTGTTTTCGTCTTTTCATTCTATTCCATTATTGAAAATGCTATACAAGTTTACTTTTTAAATCTAATGATGTGTAAATAAAATGATTGATTGATAATTAGAGAAAATATGACAGAAAGAATTGTCTTAGATATTCAAATGGTCTACCGCGTCATTGAGTTTGAAAAATGAGTCTAATTTTTGGTCTGGATTAGCATTACCCTTCCATTATTCAACAAAGTTTTATCCTATTGAAATTGGTTTCATAATCATATACGCTTTGCTTCTAATAATTGTAATTATTGATTCAATTATTTTATATCTAATTTTTTAAAAATATAATTGTGAACATACATATGTGTATCCACTACTAGTACACACACTACTAGTCCCTACTATATGTAATCTCATATTATTCTTTGCTTCGCTTGTTTGCCCAACGGAGAGGATTGGAGTTTAACGATGCCTTATGTTATTCCTCTTAGTTCTGTTTTTTTAACACAAAAATTACCAATTCCAAAATTGTGCCTGTGTCTTTGGGTAATTATTTAATTGTTTTGAAGTATCATTTGATATTTTTTACTTGGTGTTTTAAATCAATCATATAATGAATTTTAAAAAGTGTAATATATATTGATTTACTTTTGACATAGTTAAAAAATAAAGAATGATCTACTTACGTTGTATTTTGATCATGGATTCATATAGGGATTTGAAAAGATAAATGGATGTGAGGCTGATGTAAATGAAATATAAGTGAGACAGATGTGAAGAAGTGAAATACAAGTTAGATTTTTTCTCAATTTTTTTTTTCTTTTTCAATTTTTTTAGTATAAAATTTATGATTCAAACACAATTTTATTATGTTACAATTTATCATTAACCGAAAATATTACATGATATTTTGGAAATATCTAATAAATTTGTTTTTACCCAAGATATAAGGATAAGTAATTCTCTCGTATCATTAGTTACTCTTACGTCCATCGGACAGTCAAATTAGGGTGGCATATTTGAAGATGACATTTTGCCATCATTTGTGATTTATTATTCTATCATAAAAAAATATATTATAACTAATAATCCTTCAATTATTAATGAATATCAATATTACTAAGTAGGAAAAGGGATGATTGTTGTGTCTCCTGCACAACAATGACGGTTGTGGGGTTACATGGACTAATTTCAAGATCCATTTCGATAATCTTAACTGTTCATTTTTTAGGATATATTGAGTAGAATATATTTACAAAAAATTAAGTTAATCGGATATTGTTAACTATTTTATCGAATTGCATTTGTATCTAAAAAATAAATGACAAATGTTATTTGAATTATAAAATTGAATAAAAATGTGAGTGGATAAAAGAGTTAACGATATCCGATAAATTTGATTTTTATAGGTACGATGTACTCTTTTATACTCTAAAAGTGAACTGCTCAGATTATCGAAATGAGTTTCGAAATGGGCCTATATAGCCTAGTCGGACAATAGTGACGGTTGTGCGAGAGGCACAACCGTCACCCTAGTTCCTACTATAATTCAATACATTAATTAGTATCTCCTTATTCCCAAATCCAATTCTGCATCCACACGTAGCCCTAATCCTATATATGGGGGTGCGCGCGATGCGGTTCAAGTAGTTTGAAAGTAAAATTATAAATCGAACAGCAGATTGGCGGATTGACAAATTGCAGTTTGAGTGATTTTGGGCTGATTGACGGATTGAAAAATATTCTAACCAATTATCAAGTTTTTGCATAACACATAATACTTACTTGCATAATATTTTTCATATATATAACACAAACTAATTTTACATAATTTTTTTCATATATATAACTACTAATTTGTAATAAATTTCGCATATTAAATTTCTCTTACACTCATTTTTATTTTGATATTTTATTATAAATTAAAAAATATATATGCATTAATTATAACAGAACGGAGCGGTTTCAAAAGTGAATTATAAATTTTAAAGTTTAAACCATGATTAACAGATAGAGCAGTGCGAATTAATACGCATCAATAATATTTTAACGATTTAGGCGATACTTCACACCGTTCTACCTATATGGTCCACCCATTATCATAAATCATAATCTTTGATAAAAATAATCTCAAACCTATGTCCATGACACCAACATATACATACCAGGTAACCTCGAATAAAAAGAAGGGGAAATTGCATTCACCGTTTGAGAGTTTGAGAAAATATCGGTCTGGTTTGGTTTTGTTTGGTTTAGTTTTGAAATTATCATTTGAGTGTGGAGTTATTATGTGTAGAATTGTGAATTGAGTTTTGAAAAGAGAAAATTTGTTTGATTATGAATTTTGAAAAATGTTTTGAAGAGAAATTTTGAATTTTAAATTTTGAAAAGAGTTTTGAATTTTGAAAATAGTTTTTGAGTTGTATTTTGAATTTTGAATTTTTGAATTTTGAGTTGTACTTTGAATTTTTTTGGATTTATTTGTTTAAAATATTACAAAATGTTTAAGAAAATTTTATTTTTTTATTTCAAAATATTTTATTTTATTTTATAAATATTTTAATTTTTTTAAATTTTAATATTTTAAACTCAAAACACAACTTCACATTCAAATCGTAACTAAACACATAACTTAAAACTCAAGTCAAAAATTATTTTTAAAACTCATAACCAAATACATAACTTAAAACTTTACATTATTTTTAAAATTTTACATTTAAAGAGTAATCAAATATATAACAAAAAAATTAAAATATTTAAAAATATACTTATAAAATAAAATAAAAATATTTAAAATAAAAATTATATATTTCAAATAAAAAAAATAAAATTTTGGAATTTTTTTAATATTTAAAAAATATATTTAACATAAGTTTGTATTTTTTTAAGTTTGTGTTTAGTTATGAGTTTTGAAAATAATTTTTGAATTAAGTTTGATACAATAGGTCATGATTTTACTACTTGTAAAAGAGGAAATACTATGTATTTGTATTGCACATTATATGTTTGTTGTAATTTCAGAAAGCATACCAGTAGTAAAATATACCCAATTATTTTATCCCATCAGATGAGTTTCATATAGACAAAACACTTTAAATTTCTACTCCATTGAATGAATTCCATTGATCCTTTCAAATTATGCTCCAAAAGTAGTAGTAACAGCAAGCAGCCAATAGCAGTAACAAGATGCCTGGTAGCAACAGTAGCAATAGGAAGCTTCTTTATTCCCCATATCTATAAACTTGCATTGATAGAGGAATTCATTAAAAGTCAAGGTTTTGGGCTTTTGTCTATCTCTGGCACCTGCTTTCTCTATTGCAAAGGAGATGTCATTGAAATCAACCCCCATGCATAGCCATGGTTTGTTCAAACTTCGAGAGCTATTAGCTATAAGAGAGCAAAGATTTTTTCTTTCACTGATTATTGGAAAACAACAAATGAGAGCCTCCACTTTCCCAAAAGGTTATGAAAAGAGCATTGGCTATCCCAAAAAACAAAACAACCAAAAAGAAGAAGAAGAAGAAGAAGAAGAAGAAGAAGAAAATGATGGAATTCACTAAAGTGCAAATTCACCTCTTTGTTTGAAAAAACTACTGCTCCTCCAGCAAGACTGATAGACTCCAAAAGTGAAAGACACAAATTAAATAGTCTGATTTCTTCAAATTTATTTTTTATAACTTGTGTTTCAAGCAGACAACTTAGTGAGGGTCTAAATTGGACATTAGGACTTTTAATGGTTGAATTGTCAAGGTAGCCTTATGTCTTGATTTAGTGAGAATATTTAAATACTCTTATGTCTTGGGTTCATCCTTAGTAGTTTGATTTATCTTTTTCATGGGAACATGCTAGCAATTTGTTTTCAGGTTTGTATCTATAACTACCAGAGCAATGTTTTCTTCCTCTTTCTGAGAGTTGTTCTTAGCTTGAAAAAATATGGAAGTCGTCTTCCTTGTATCCAATACTATTCAAATTGTTGCAGCTTGCTATAAGCTCTGTTTTTTAAATTTTAATTCTTATATATTATT